CTGTTCTGTCCCACTATGGGCAGCCATTTGTGACAAKGGTGGGAACAGAGGACATGAACTTCTTGTTGGTTCAAAGAGATCCTACTTCTCTGTTTGTTTTCAAAAGCTATGTTGTATTATACCTTAAACTTCCYGGGCTAAACACCCAATGKMTGTTTGCTCTGAGGGGTCACTGCCAATGAAGCTTCTTATCTAATCACATCTCTGGCTGGGTGGTGTCCACAGGCTTTGTTTAACCCAATCACATCCTGACAGACAACACAGGGTCACTGTCAATCCTACAAGCTATTTCTGAGCCCCAGCAAGGTGAGCTATAGATTAGATAAAAAAAWTTCAAATATTTTGCTAGTGCTACAAAGTACTTTTTGTTTGCCAGTACAAAATTAATAAGTGATGCTCAGAAATACCTGATTATTTTTAGAAATTTTGGTTCAACACTGTGGTACAGAGATTCAAAGATTTCTAAGTTCAATCCATCTTGATTTTAATTTTGARTATCTATTTATAATAACTGTCACTACTGAAAAAGATACCTCACAAAGATATTAATCTAAATGGAAAGAGTGTTGTTGGTTATGCTTGCTAAATCATGCAAAGATGTATTAATATTCAACTTAATATTCAACTAGTAAGTTTCCATTTTCCCTCATGCCAGTTGTTTGGACTTGTAAACTAATTGAAAGGTCTTGAATTTTTGTATTGTTAACAAATGGATTGAAAGCCCTTCCTTTGGAAGATTTTTTGAAAATGGGTTAGAAAGTACAGGTATTAGAGGTTTTTATGGGTGACACTTTTATATTTCATTTTGCAACAAAATTGCATGATGATGGAAATATTTCCAAACTTCTGTTTTCAAAATGCTCCCATATACAATAACTTTATTTTAAGAATAAAGTATTTGCTTGCTCATTGTCAAAACATCACCTTTATCTTGAGACACATTAAATGATTGCATTTTTCAAAAATATATAGTACTGGCAGGCCCTTTTCATCACAGAAAAGATCAGATGTGAAACAATTGCTTTTCTTTCTGTGAAAGGAAAATCTAAGTTTGACATCTCTTTTGAGCACTTTGCCCTGGGATAACCAGTGAACCCCTGTGGTACAAAAGACTTTCATGATAACTCCCCATCTATTTCCAAAGTACTGTAAAGATTTTAATATTGAATGGTTTGTTTTTATAAAATTAACGACACTGATGACAATGTAAGGCTTTGTGTGCTTTTGTCTCCAGTTTATTTGCTACACTAGTTTGCCCATGAGTAAACAGGAGAATGAATTTCACTTTTGCTCTAACCTTATCCTGAGATCACTTTTTTATTCTATTCAAAGCAGCCACTTCATCAGTGGTTACATTTGTACAGTTTTTTCATAAACCAGCATTTTTAATAAAGAAACTGTATCTGTTGTGCAGCTGCCTTCTCCATTGCATCTTTTTATTAGCAGTTGACAAAAAAGTTGCTCTTTATGTACTCTTTGTAATATAAAAAATCTACCAAGTACCATAAACTGAAATGGGTTAAGGAACACTTGCAGTTTCAAATACCCCACAACCCATAGCTTGTTCTAATATTTCTTTCTTTAGCAATGTTTTCTGTGAAAATACTGGATTGAATATCACAGGACTTTAAACATTGCTGAAAAAATTTACAAAGGTTCTTCATGTCCTGGCTAGTTTGTAAATGCCCTGTTAATCCTCCACGTTAGCTAATGCCTAAAGTTACAATATACACTTGAACAGAAGTTCATTGTTAGGAATAACACATGTAAACTTGTATTTCAAACACTTTGATAGTTCTCAAGGTATTTCAGAGTTTTCTTTTGGCCAACTTTTTGTCGAATCTGACTACCTGGTCAGTGATACCACCATGTAAAGCGGTTGATGAAGGACTTGCACTAGGAGCTGAAGAATCAGCTGTGCAACTTTCTTGTCTGTTTGCCTTTTGCATTATTTGTGTTACCTTCAATCTGCAGGGGGTTTTCTCCAGAATCTCCTTGAGATACCGGTTTGTTTTGTGAGGGTTATTTTAGTTGCAAATAGGTAATATAATCCATAGATCCACTTAACTGGGCACATGTAAATGTCAATATGTCAATACACTGAAAGTGAAAGAATGAGTGAGAGTGTCACTSTCAACCTCCTTCTGCCCTGTGAGGCACTTAATCTTCCCTAGGGACGGCTTGTGTCTGTGTTAAGTGTGATCATCTGGCCTACAGAGCAGATGAGAGTGCAGTGCCAAGACATGTTAAGTATTAGTAAAGTTTGAATTCTTAATATTTTTCAATGAAAAATATTAATACTTTATTCCTTGCACCTTGTACCCCCTGCTGTGCTCAACCTCCAGATAAGAGGCCATTACTCCAGAGCAAAATTTATTGTAATGTAAGAATATGCAATAATCGTAAGACAGTGCCTTGCTTCCTCAGAGTGGTAAAGGGCATGCTTCGTTGGGGCAGCTGCTGGTCTTCATTTGTGTTGAGCTGTGCTTCTGATCTAGAGATACAAAGCTCTAGTTATTCTGATGCAATTTACCTTCATTGCTTTTTTTTAAATTTTGTTTTCAGAGAAATCAGACACAGTCTTGTCTCCCAGAAAAAGCAGGGAAAGACACAGGGGATAACACAGATCTTTAAAACTATTCTTGGGAAATTTGTTTCCTTTTACTTTGTCCTCAGAGATTTTGCTCTGCTGTTTACATGTATTTATTKTGAAAATATGATGCTACTGTACTTTGATTATACTAGAAGATTATAATCTATGATAAATAAACCTATGACTTAGATTGTTTTAACAGGCATGTTAAGCAATCTGTTCTATATGCTGTCATGAATATGTCTCCTAACAAGAAGAGAATTTAATTTAAAAAATTGTTTAAAAATCCTGGTCATACTTTTCTGCTCTGGTCCACATGCCTTCACTTACAGCATTGTCCAAGCTCAGTTGGCTAAGCTGAGGCACTTTCTGATCAACCTGAAAAAGCCTGTGAACCAGGGTGAATAGATAGGCAGAATGGCCTCTTTTTTTACATGCTTGAGGAAATTGATCATGACTTTTAGTCCTCTGCTAAATGGCATGCTGTCTCACAGGTTCCATTTCAGGAGCTTGATGATGAGATTGATCGAAGAGTAAAATCTTGAATCCAATGTGTGTAAAGAACCAAATTAAATCAGTATTTTATTTTCTAGACRATCTCTCTTGAGAAGTCTTACAGAATAAAAGGTACTGTTTGTCTTCTATCATTGCCTCAAAATAATCTTGCTCGGTTTTCCAAAATAACAGTTCAGTAAGAGAATGGAAGATGTAGGGCAAAATTCAGGATACAGTCCTAGACCTAGCATTGCTACTTTGTTGCCCTTGAAGCCATTTTTCTGTTGGTATAAATGTGCCTTTATGGCACAAAATGATGCCCTGTTGTGAAGACATTTCAGGAAGAAAACTGCCCCAGTGACAAACCCTACAGAACAGGATAAGGAGGAGCTCAGGTTAAGAAGCTCCTTGTTAAGATTTGCATGCACATTATCTCTAAGGTGAGCAGTGGGGTAAAAGAAATGGGAGGAAATACATCCTTTGGGAACAGAGAAGGAGCTGGGTTACAGGGGCTCCCTCCTGCATCGGCAGAAATAGAGACATTTCCAATATTAAAATATGTGCCTCGGTGGCTGGAAATCCAAGGCATGTAACAGACTCCTCTCCTATAGAGAATTTTGTGGTTAAAAACCRAAAAGGACGGAAAGCGGGCAGGCAAGGGACAAAGACACTTCATTCTTTCAGCAGAGATGGTGCGCACCRTGCTTTCGCGTGTCTTACCATGTGGGAAGCCAAGATGGTGACTTCTGGGGAGACCAGGGGAGGAACCCACCACCTCGTGGCTTGAGAAGCCMATGCCCCAGAGCCCAGAAACCCGCAGCACATCACCTTTTTACCTTTTTATCATGTACCCAGCAGTACATACACATCATTTATAAACAGTAAGGGTGTATTGTAAAATTTGTTTTTGGCATCCAGCTCTGGACTCCCCAGCACAGGAAACCACAGACCTGTGGGAGTGAGGAGGCCACAAAGATGACTGGAAGACTGAAACAGCTTTCCTCTGAAGCTGAGAGAGCTGGGGTTGTTCAGCCAGAAGAAAAGAAGGCTCTGGGGTGAGCTCTCCCATATATAAAAATGGGTTGTAGGAAGGAAGAGGCATTTCACCAGCACACATAGTGACTGGACAAAAGATAAAGAGTTTTAAAATTAAAAGGGTTTAGATTGGACTTAGGAAAGAAAATGTCTACATTAAGGGTGGTGAGGCACTGTAGCAGGTTGCCCAGAGAAACTGTGGATACTCCATCCCTGGAAGTCCCGGCAGTGCTCAGGGTTGGACAGGGTGGATCTGAGCAACCTACCCTAGTGAAGGATGTCCCTGTCCCATGATCTTTAAAGGTTCCTTCCAACCATTCTGTGATTCTGAGATTCTACTTTAAAAATCTGTTTCATTGCTGGAATACCATTACTGGAATACCATTACCAGTAATACATTTGATAACAGCTACTTTTAACACTAACATATTGTATTTAGTTCCATGTATCAAGTTGAAGACATTCTACCCTAGGATCACACAAAACCTACCCAACTCCAGTCTGGCCTGCAGCAAAAAAGAATATCCAGCATAAATGCCCAGGCTTGAATTCCAAGAAATTCAAAGAAAAAAAAAAGCCACCAAAGCCTTGTTAGAAAAAGCATCTTAATTCTGCAGTACTGTTCAGATCAGAAACTACTCTTGGGGTTTTTTTTTCTACTTTCATTCTCCACTTCTCTATTCCAGTGGACACCATGTCAGACACCAAAGGAATTTCTAAGCAAAGGAGACTTTTCACTACACTTGATGACACAGATACAACACAACAGAACAGGATTCAGGTACTGTCATCCGACACCAGGATTAAGGCACTTCTGTTCTGAAGCAGCAAAGGCAAAACAATAAAATTGGAAGAACGTACACTTACTCACGAAACCTAGAAAGCTTAATATATATATTTATTATGCATTAGGAAGCTCATTAACTTAAAAACCAAACTGCATAGTACAAAAGGTTTCTTATCTGTGCTCAATGTGGAACAAGTTTCAAAATATATGTTTTTAAAATTTCAGTTCAGTCAATACACAATCCTTTTAAAAAACCGTATAACTGTCTGTACCCTCATTACATTTATAAATACATGATTTAGACAGCACCCCATCTGGAAAAATTAAAACTCCTTACAAATATCTACATATATTGCATACATATAAAACATTCATAGAAGTATTCCATTAAAGTTGGGTTTAACAGTCCATTTACACTGCAGCAAAATACATATAAATCTGTGGATTCTTCATAAAATGTCTCTAAAAATTAGCACATTTGTAACYATTCAAAACTCCTCTGAAGCATCTTTCAGAAAGAAAATTTGATATGAATATATCCATGATATTCAGCAGGTAAGACAGTGATATGAAGGCTAAATATGATTAATAACTGAACACTAAGAAGCAGTTAAGGCAGGGGTGAAAGGAATTAATAGGAAAAATTAGTTTATATGGCAGATAAAGTGACAAAATGCAGTACATACATATATTTTATGATGTAAACTACTCTGGCACCCACTCAGAAGTCAGAAGTGTCTATGTTTCTGACACTGCTCATTTAAAATTAAGATATTATTTTTTACAAGCAAAACATTAATGGGACCTGGCTCTCATCTGACCTGATGGCATCTGGATTTGATTTAAGTGCACAAAACTGATTATTCCAGAATGCGGGTTTAGGGTTTCTGTATGACCTTCATTTATGGGTAATTAYTGTCATGTGTGATCACAATCAAAATTTTGCTACCTTGGTTTCATCACTTCTTTCTGGCAACTACTGGACTTCCTGTTAGTAAATAATATTCGAGAATTTCATTGATATCAGTATTTCAGGTACTAGAACTACAGAGATCAGTGCCTCCCATACCATGAAGACTACATGTGCCATACATGCAGACAAAAGGCATAAGAAATGCTAAACAAGCTGTAATAGTGATGGCAGAAATTGTTCTGGCTCAAACCTGTTTATTTCACATTATCTTGCAATTTTGGAACTGAACATTCAAACTTTAAAACAAATCTTCTATATATTTAGGTTTCTACACAATATAGGAATTTGATGCAGTCCAATATTGGGTAGAATCACACCAACTTGTGACCTGCTGTCCTAAAACACCACTCCTGCAAGTTTGACATCAACCTCAAGGATCAAGTGGCCTCCTGTCACAGCTGCCTTTCCCTCAAAGGCAAGATATTCTGTACCTCCCACCAAGCTTCCAGAGACACATTTCAGTGCATGACTTTGTTCTACAGTCCCCCCAGAATCTAGCCTTCATACCCTGCTATCCTGCAGCAATGGTTCAATGTCCTCTTCATTACTTTGGTCTAGGTTGTTACTCAGACTATTGCTGATGCTGTTGCTGTGTTTTTTGGTGCTGCTGACTTTGCTGCTCTCAGGAATAAATAAGGCGACTAGAAAAGCCAGAAGAACAATGCACGCTCCAACCAGGAAAGGTGGACCAGGAACGATCGTTCTCTACAGGAAAACAAGAATAAAGAATTCATGAAGTTTCAGACATTGACTCCTCCATTATGAACTACACCACTAAAGCAGGAGATAATGAGGATATATTTATGGTGACTAAAATTTTGGAAACAGATTCATATGTGCACTGCAAAGTGAATTTTCTTCTACAATGCTCACAAATTCCTCACCAGATCTCCACAGTGATCTGAAAACCAGAAACACATAAAATTGTCTAYTGACAATAGGATTGCCTAGCAAATGAAACAGATATTGACTGATGCTTTTTTTTTATTCTTTTTGCCTTATGTAACATGCCTGTTAAATCAACATGACTCCTCTGATGATTAATAGAATAAGGTTTCAACATCCAGAAGTACAAATACTCAAYAAACCCTAGCTTCACCGTTTCATGGTTGAGACACCCTAGAATAAAGTAAGCCAAATAAACAAGCATCCCAAAAAAACCAATGTATGAGTGAGCAAAGTAACAGCAGAATATGTAGTACATACCATTCTCACTGTAGAGACACATAGTTGATGTATGATAACTTACCATTTGGAAGTATTCTCTCTTGCTTCTAAGCAGTTTATTTTAAAATTTAAAAACATAATTTACCCACATTTTACAGCCCCAAATAAAAACAAACACCAGAAAGGTTTTAAGATCAATTTTAAAGCAGCCAAGTATGATGACAAACTTCAACAAAAGAAAAATGTCAGCAATCCAGCTTTTTAAAATTTTTTAAACTTTTCTGTATCTGTAAACTAAAACTAGATAAAAATCAGAAGATAAAACTTGTCAATCCAATGTTTTTATTCCTGATGAAATGTAGGAAGCTATTCTCATCTGAASTAGGAAAGTAGCTAAACATAAGCATACAGTAACAGGGTATTTCCCTTGCCTCAATTCTGTTTCAATCAGAGGCCTAAATTTTCAGCTGATGGTCTGTACAGATAAAGTATATAAACATATTAAAAATGTATCTTAATGATATCAAACCTTCAAGAGGTGCTACACACACAAGTACTTAAAGAAGTAATAAACTTCCACAAATTAATACACCCATTTTTAATATAACAGCTAATTCTTCTGAGTAGCTTTTATGAGTATTACACTACTATGGTCTTTTTGAAGGGAGTAAAAATCTTTCAATCTGTCCTTGTTCATTGCATTGCCAAGTGTTGTTATTATTACTCTCCAACACTGCCTATGATCGCACTGTTTGTTGTAAGGGCTTCCTGTAAATAATTATAATGAATCCATCTCACTCAAACTTTAGTCTCAGTAAACTTACATCAAAACAAATTATCTGGTACTGTTACAATACTGAAACTAATGCTGCTACTACTGTAAATCTGAATATTCACTATCACATTTAAATTACAAGCTTACTAATTTAATAAAACTGAAAAGTGACAATTAAGTAGTTATAAGATATGAAGATTTTATATCAACAAAAAAGAAGACAGATTTCTGGCCTTATGAGTTCTATGGTGCAAACTGCACATCAGATTTTGAACTTACTTTATCACTGGGATTTTGCTTCGTTTTTATTTCAGAAGTGTTATCAGGTAGCAATTCATTGAGTTCCACATGGAAAAGAAAGAAAATAAAGCCATACAGTGCTGGTCCAAGGCCATTGCACAGTCCTCTTATTCCAGTTATTATTCCTTGGACAACACCTAATGAGAAAAAAAAACACCAAGAGTCAGATTTTTTTTTTTTTAAGCAAGAAAGGAATGCTCAAGAGCCAAGAGTTCTGAGTGTATTCTAATAATTGTTCCAAAAGAGATAATTTCATAATTATTTCTGCATTCTAAGATGTAAGAAATACATTGAAGACAAATCTGTCAGATTAAAATAATCCTCTGCATCATCATATAGTTCTGTCACTATACTTGCAGATTACCGGAAGCATTATGTTTTTGAACACGACAGATGAAATTTATGTGAAGTTTTCAATGTTAGAGCTCTTTCAGTCTCAGCCAAAGCCTACAATGAAGATAGCAGACCTTAAATGTGGTACCCATTTAATTTACTTTCAAGTGAAATTCAGAGTAACGTATCTAAGTGTTTAGGACTGTGATTGGGAAAATACACACACACTGAGATTAGGATTTATTTAAATACCAAGTAGCTTACTCAGGACAGTAAATTAGGTGTACAGCAGTAATTTCACAATACCTGACTCACTGTAGTTTTACTCACTGGATTYTTCTAAAAGCTTAATTAATCAAAGTGCTAATAAAAGGTGTATTTCTGTTTCGATTTCATTAAGTGATTATGGCAACAGAGCAAAAAGTGTTTGGATGACATTAACATTACATATTATGAGTCTACAAAATGCTATTTTACAGTAATCATAGTCTGCTTCCTTCTCAAGGCAATAATTTGCAAAATGGGAGGAAAAAAACATGTAAAAAAGATAACTGTCCAAGGTTTTTACTTCATAGGTTGGTAACATGAAAGTTTAACATCTTCATGCCACTAGGTGGCAAAACCTCTGTCTTTAAACTATKGAAAGCCTTAGCTATTAACAGCAGCTTCCCCTACATAAAATCAAAGTTCAGTGTCTTCTGTTATCTTAACTAAACTATTCATTTCCTGATATAAACAGAAAGATTTTAAAATCTTTTCAATTTCATCTTTTCAAACAATTTTAGATCTTTTCCTTTCTTTAAAAAAGAGAGGAGAATAATGTAAAAAAAACCCATGTAAAATATTGTCTTTTGCACTTTTCAAACTCAACAGAAATCTACTTCCCTTGTACTTTTCTGATTTATTGCACTTAACTCACTTCATGTTGTACAATGCTAAAGTATAACTGATACTTAAAATTTACATATACAGTATATTTTAAAACTGAACACTAAATTCAGTTCTTATATACCAGAGTTTGTGACGACTTGTCATTTAACTTTAAAGGAGGAGTAATTTCTGACTGTATATTACTCTTCAGATCACAACCAGTAGATTTTCTGTCTTCCCAGATCAACTGGTTACTTTTGACTTCCTTTTCTATTCCTTGTATTGTATCAAATAGGGCCAACTTTTCTACAAAAAATAAAGCTTCTTGCTTACATTTACTTCAATCTGGTAAAATATGCAATTAAAAACGTAGTATTGTTACATTAATCCTGTCTATTAGAGAATAATGCATATAATAAAAGGGAAAAAAAGCAAGTTTTTGTTCTTTTCATAGTACTTCTACAGAAAGATAGAAAATAAGTAGTTCATCACATACTATGTATTTTATAATGCAATTATGATGAATTTGTGCACTTTCTTCCTCCTCTACATAGACTGGCAGACTTCCACAGCTACTACCAAGGGAAAACTCACCAAGACAACTTGAAAAGTACGCCTAGATAACTCTTCTCCTTTCTAGACAAAAAAGCAGTCTGATGCATAAAAAACAATTCATCCAATACTCACCTTGTTGATCTGCCTCTGCATTTCGTGAAACCAGAGCACTAATTGCTGGGAATGTAATGCTTGACATCGCTGCTACAGCTCCTGCTGCCCACATCATCCTGTATTAAATACATAATTCAAATTAAAAATTAGATTGCTTTTATAATTATTCCCCACACTCCCAAAAGAACCACAAGGACACCCTTATTTCACATATAGTGCCCTTTGAAATACTCTAATCAAAATACCTAGAAAATGGAAATTATCTGGTTTTCTTCCTGCTCCCCTCCCACATATTATTCTGAAATTATTGGAAGGTTTGCACATTTGATTTCATTCTATCCTAGCAGAGAGAAAGAGGGGAATGTGAGTGAAGTGGGCTTTCCTCTCCAAATGCTGTACAAAGGAACAATTTCCCAGGGTGTCCCAATTCTCTAGCCTCTCCAACTGACTAGAAAGTTCTCTGATAAACAAGTACTCATCCCTCTCAGTAAGACAAACTTGATAAAAAAGCTGTTTGACATTAAGGTTCTAGCTGCCTCTACTTACAGACAGTTTCTCCAACAGAAGAAACTCTATAGCGTTTGTAAGACCAAATACTATTAGAGTAAGAAAATATGTTAGAAAAACAAAAACAAGTATAGGTCCAGTACCTAACTGATAAAAATGCGTCTAGTGGAATTACTAGAGGGAACATACTACTTCTTATTCTGCGAGTTAAATAAAATGCTTTAACCTCATTCATAGACTTTACACTCAGTGGATCAAAATGTTGCAAAGACACCCTTTTTAAAAGGGCTGTGACTTACACTGTATGTATAGAAAATTCTATCATTCCTACATATGCAAAATACAGACCAAATTTTGGTACMGTAATGAAAATGGGAAAGCTTAATTCACAGAACACTTAAATACTCATGACAACAGAATTAAATGGTAGAACTTATTGGGAAAAAAACTGCCAGTTCCTTAACAGGTGTGTACACACCAAAATGTATGCTTACCAAGACTGAGATCCAAATCCATACCAAGCCAGCTGAAATATCTGAAAGCCAAGGCCAAGGAGAACTGTGTTTTTGTTGCCTATAGATCTCATCAAGATACTGAGAAACAAAGTCTGCAAGAGAAATTGGTTAAACCAAAAGTTGCTTTAAAATGTCAGATTGCTAAAGTAATTTTCCCCATGAAAAATAATTCAGAAGACTTTTCAAATTATAAGGCAATTTATACAATTTGTCCTTTACTTCCCCTGTATTAAGTCCAAAATACAGATGAGTCATTTCAACATTTAATGTACAGATATTCTTAATTCTTCAATGGTTACCACCCCAGGACATCGAAAAGCAAATGCATTACCTCTGTATGTACACTAGATGACAGTGTCTATTTCCAATGCAAATAGGCTTTCATTTTCACCTCCACAAACCTATTTTACTACAGACTAGAGAGTTCCAGAAAACAAAAACTGATACCAAGGTAAGACAGTACAAGCTGGACATTACTTGAATTTACCAGTATCTATAAACACTGGAGAAATAATGACTGTTAGCTCAGGAAAAAGTAAACTCCTTAGGTCAGCTGAATTATTATGCAAATTTACATTTAAATTACAGTAAAATTGCTGCTTTGTCACCTTCATCACACACACTGAAATTCGGCCAAGGCAAATTCTGAGGCACCATTAATTACATTTTTTACTGACTCTTTGCACCACTGATACGCCCTTTTCATTTGCACATGTAAGGTAACACCAACCAAAGATCAGTATTTCTATTTGTTAGAAGTGTTATTGCTGAGGGAGAAGGATATCCGAATTCAGATGCAACAGCAAGAACTTACAGCAAGAAGCAGACACCTTCTAGTAAAGCAACGTATACATGGAGTACTTGACTCAATGAAGCACACAATTTTCTTTAAAAGGAGAAACTCAGCAATGCTTCAGTAGAAATACAGAGAAAAAGAACAGGACTACAGAGCAGAATACATTTCCTCTCTTGTCTCTCTTCCTGATTGTATTGGGTCTGGCTCAGATGGAGTTAATAGCACCCCTCACAGGTTATGTAGCTGGAAAGGTGTTGATAACACAGCAGAGCTTTGGCTACTGCTGAGCAGTGCTGGCAGAGCATGAGCACTGTCTCTCAACATTCCCCCCACATCAGTAGACTGGGAATGGACAAGATCATGGGAGGGGACACAACTCAGCCAGSTGACCCAAACTGACCAAAGGGATAATTTGCTCCACATGACATCACCTCGGAGAGAAATGCTGAAGAAAGGAGGAGGAATGGGGCATTTGTTATTTACAGTGTTCGCCTTTCAGAGCAACTGCTATGAAGCCCTGCTTCCTAGGAAGTGGCTCAACAGTGCTTTCTGATTGGAAGCAGAGAATAAACCTTTTTTTTTTTTTTTCCTCTTTGCTTGTGCATACCTAAACTTGCTTTTGCTTTAGTAAACTGCTTTATCTCCACCTATGAATGGTTTTTACCTCTTCCCTGTCTGGCTGGGGAGTGCTGGAGTAGGCACTTGGGATCCAGCCAACATCAAACCCCCACCCTAACTTTCTCATTTCTCATTTTTAGTTTAAAAGCTGAATAGAAAAAATAGAGTAATTCCATTTTCATGTGTTCAGTTATTTCTGGAGATATCCAACATGCCAACACAAATAAGTATTTATGAAGCAAAGATGATGTCAATAAGCAGAGACAGTTTCACTAAGCTGTACTCTTCAAAGAGCTCAAAAATCAACAGTTTCCTCATTTTAACAATGAAAATTATGAAACAGAAGAGGAAGCCATCTCAGAGATTTTTAGCAGGAATACTGGTCTGCCTGAAGTATGACTGGCAAATGTGAGTGCACATAACAGCCTCAGAACAAACCACAGAGCAAGGATTAAAATAATGACTTTAATTGATAATGAAGGCCACAACTGACACCAGTAAAACAGATAAACATTGATGAATGTGTTGTTAACATCAGAACAATATGACCTTCATTCTGCTTGAATGGCAACAAGGTTACAACATACTATATGCCATTCCTCTTCTATACCCACAAAGAAACCAAAGATCACATCATAAAAACTCTGATTTACAAAAGACATAAAGGATCCATTGAAAAATCAGCCCACTTTTGCCAATTAAGACATATGACAATAAGATACCAAGGCCTTACAGCTCCTCATCGCCCAAGCTGAGCCAAAGTAACCCTGGAAAGACAGGGTTGTATGAGAGTCTGATAGAACAAGGCCATTGAATAGGTGCAAGTAGCATAACTTTATTTAAAAAAACACATTTCCCTTACAGATGGCCTTGCATTAAGTAAAAATTTTAATGATTTTAAGTCAAAGTTCCAGGGAATTTGCTGATCCAAATTTAGCTTGGTTTAGTTTAGTTTTGTAATGTCCAGATCCAGTACTTCTAAGGAAAGCTGGTACATAGCAAAAGATTTACTCAGACTGTATAATGAATACAACCTACTGTGAACACAAGATACTCTGGCAGATTAGAGCATGTAAAAAGATCTTAATCTTAAATGAAGCACTATGAAGAAAAAAAGCTTACCTGAGCTATTATGGATAGAATGCCCACCACAGCTATAAATGCTGCAATGCTAGCAGATCCAAATCCTATAATCTGTAAAGAAGCAGAAATCGCATCAAACAAATGCCAAACACAATCCAAGACAATTGCTAGCAGTGAAGTATCTTCTTAAAGAAAACACTCATGCCTGCTTATACTCTAGATCCATTAAGGAGCCATACAGAAGTGTCCACTTTCAAGAATAATCCTTGACACTTTGCCAAGAAAACTATGAAGGAAAAAAAAAAGAACTGCCTTAAAGAGATGGAGGAAATCATGGATCCAGAAACTGAAGTATTATATCCCTCCCACTAATACAACAGGTCTTCAACAGGCAAGATTCCACCACCAGACAGACCCAGAAACTGCTGCACTGATGAGAACACAGGTCTGCTTAAGGTTAACACATGCTTAAGTCATTGCATGGCATATGCATCAGGAGTCAAGTTCCTGACTTAGCAAAGCACCCTGCCTTTAATTAAAGCTTTACTTTGCCAGGAAGCAGGTCTCTGAAAGAAGTCTACAACAAGAAAGAGGTCATAATTTAAATATCCTTAGTAAGATGGGAAGGCACCAACATTTACCTGTCTCAAGTACAGAAAGAAACTAGAATACTGGCCAGCCTCAGGCAGGTATGAGAGCAACACTGTAATGCAGATTGGAAGAACTGTAGGATCTTTTTTAACCTTCTTCAGAGACTGTAAAACAAAGCAAGTATTGAAATATTTGTACAAACTCTAGTGAAAACATAATAGATCGCCTTTTTTAAATCCATTTTTGTCCATGCATACACATCAAAACATTAAACATGGAAACTGTTAAGCTGAATGTTAAGTCACAAATGCTCTCTTTATATACAGTTTGGGGGATCCAATTCTTCTGCGATGTTTCCATTAAGATATTTGAAGCTACTGTTCAGTGCCAAATCACAACTATTCCCTGAAAACAGTGTTATATAACAGTAAGGGAAATGAGTAATATCTTCTATTGAATCTCCATAACAATAATTTCTTTTGAAAAATGTAGCAAATAATATACATTTCTTACACTTGTTCATTGATGATATTCATTACTTTAAAGAACAAATAAATTGTGGAAAACAAATTCTGTAACTGCAGTCTTTCAAGCATACCATTTATCTCTCAATATTCACAATCAGTTACCAGCAGGATGGGTCTTATGAAGAACAATGACTCTTCCTTAAGATACTTGGGCATAACAAAAGCATAAATTAACTGAAAAAGTATGACTAAGTGAAAAAGTTACTACAAAGGCTGCATGGCATGTTTTAGTCCCAGGATTCCTATATATGCCTGTAAAAAACTCAGGCTTTATAGATACATTCTCTACTAGAAAGAAATCATATATAACCAAAAGTGGAAATCAAGAGTAAGGAGAGATACAGCCAAAAGTACAGTTACAAAGTGAATATGTAAAACCTTAAAATATTGGCTTTTGTGATGTAAGAATTCAGCATTTCTCTTTGCAATAAAACAGAGTACATAAGTTAAAAAAGTTAAGTACTGAACCTTTGGATATTACACCTGTTATGATCTAATTATTAAAGGTTCTTAGAAGTACTTCTGCCCTAATTAAGGTGCAAACGAGACCATGTGCCAGTCAATAGTATGGGTTTTATTTGGTAACAAATATGAGAGGGAGAGAGGGGAAAAGAGAGAAAGGAAGAAGAAAAGAGGTGGGGGGGCACAAAAGCACCAAACATTGTTTTCAAATCAAGAATTATTTCATCCACAAAGTTTGTTTTTTTAAATGTAGTTAGATCTTTTTGAGCAAGAGCAGAGAACAGGGACTATGGTACACTGAATAGTCAAGCTATCAATAAAATTAAAGATTTCCCACGCTTACAAACTGAAGTTAATAATTATTACTTATTAATCATAAAATATTTAATAATCACTTATTGAAGCGCATCTTACTGCAAAAGGGTCTGCCTGCTCCCACGATATAGAAGATCCCCAAGAAGCAGGTCTTATCTTTTCCGGCAGAGATTCTGGTACAGCTAGCAGGATGAAGCAGATATCCACAACAGCCACCAACGTGGCCACTAGTACAACCAGACTATCTCCGTAGCTGGCAGACAGATATGCTCCAATAGCAGGACTAGTTACCAAACTTGCTGCAAAGGTGGCAGATACCTATGCACAAGAACAGTTTACAAATTCATCAGAGTGGTTATTCTGCCATTACAGAAAAATGAAGTAACTTGCTCATCACCACTACCTCTCCCCAAAATTGTGGTTTAAAAAACACACAAGTAAAAGTTTAAGTAAAAAAAACAAACCAAACTAACAAACAAACAAATAACCAAAGAACAAGCAAACAAAACAAAACAAAAAAACCAAAACAAACAAAACCACCCACCATTTATGACAGTAAATACAGCTTATAGAGCCTCCTCAACAGCATACCATACTAGATAGAATTAACAGTCACAGATCAGGCTTGGCTCAAGGGAAATAAACTCTTACTTTTAAATACTAATAAAAACCCCTTGGTTTTCTAATTATAAATTTTAAGTGATTTGACTTAAAAGGTTCTCAGTACATTTAAATATACTGCTGAACAGAAGTTCAAAGGCTATGGACATCTACCAGTGGACTGCCAAAACCTAAACTAATGTAGATACTAGGAAAGCAAACTAAGCAGAATCATATTACCATTGGAAGGATTAGTTTGCACTAAATTATTTTCCTTATCTTTTGATAATTAAGAAAGGATATGACTAAGTTACTAAAAATACAGTTTTATGCATTTTTATCCATTCTCACTGTTTTGACCTTAGAAGAAGTCATTCTATACTAAAAACAAGTCACATAAACTGGAAGTGCAACTTAAGGTGATAGAAAACTATTGGTAGATAAAATTGCTTGCATTGCCTTTAACAACATTTAATTCTTTGTTTGCAAAATTTAAAAGAAATTATTTCTTACACATGCTCTCTATACAAGTTGTCAAATATTTGTTCTGTTCCCTTAAGCACATACCACTCTCTTCACTGCCTGAACTCTTATGCAGTGCCTCGAGATATGGTCTATTCCTTTATCAACCTCTTTACATCAATCAGGAAACAATCTGGGCACAAAGCAAAGTTCAGTATGAAGACTATAATCTATACTTTTTCTCAAACGAGCATATCTTACCAGTCCATAGGCAGTAGCTCTTTCATGTTCTTGTGTTACATCAGCTACGTAGGCAAATATTACAGAAAAGGTAACAGAAAAGATTCCAGATACTGAAATCATAGCGAAGTACCACCTAATAATTTAAAAGCAACAATTAGAAAGTTTGAACTAAGATCTCTTGCCATTTATTTTACTAATAAGCAAGTTTGTGTTTAAGTCTAAGAGGAGCGTTCATCAAGAAGTAACATAGAATTTTACTGGCAATGAATGATTGTGCAGTCTCACTTAAATACTGGAAAACAGCTTTTTAATGTTTTATATTCTTCTGTTTATTTTACATTAGCCTAAAAGTAGAAGTGTCCCCTTGAGGACGTGGCACCTGCAGACTTTTACACTCTTGAGTTAAAGTTGTGAAAAACAAACTACCTTAGAAGTTATTTTCTCAGCCAGTTAAGGAATAAATTATCATATATATAATGCATAGAAGCTGAACTCTAAATTCATTCAGTGTGCACAAAGTTCTTTTGTAATTCCTCCAGGTTTCACAATTAATGTAAATGAAACCAAACTGAAACTGCTCTCTGATCAGTACAGATTTGGTTTCAAAGTCCTAATCCAAGAGTTAAAAAATATCACTTGCAACAATTATACTTTTCTGTGGCAAATAAATGCTAAGATTCATTTAGCTTCAAAAATGTATTAATTGCGGTCAGTCATCAAGGGAAAAAAAGAACAGCTGAGTTTTAAACAGAGTTAGACAGGATTATCAAATTCTTGCAAGTACTATTTTACTATTTCACATTCCATTATTTCTACTTTTGGGATCACAGTTTAAACACAGCTGGAACAGAAAAGCTCCAAAACAATGAAGTCACATCTTGAAAGGAAACCTGCTTTGTTCATGTCTTACTGTTCCTCTCCCATTTCCCCAAACTACTTCTCTGATTGAATATCTGCTCTCCTGACAAGCTTGCTACTGCAGTTTGTACCACTTACCATGGGCTTATTCGCATTAATGGAATTGGGACACAGGTGAAGAAAACTGTAAGAAGAAGAAAAGATCTTCTTCCCCAAGCATCTGAGAGAGCACCTATTAGGGGAGCACTGAGAAAGGACAAAAAACCCTGTGACAGAAGAAAAGCAATGAATATGTTGTATCTACATTTCCAAGGTTCACTTTAACTACAGTATAAGAAAGCAATAAACTTGAAAATCTGTTTTAAATTAAACACAGAAACTGTAGATAAGGGAAAGTGTTCACAATTTGTTGTACAGTCTAGTTTTCTGTAGTTCTGATGCTTTGTTTCAAATCTATTAAACCTGAGTGAGCATACCTTTTTCAAGATCCATTTGATTGAATATAGGAGTAACACAGACTGCAAAATCTTTAAAATCTCCAAAATGCAGTCTAATTCCACAAAGGAACATTATCTTAGCCTCTATCAACAGACTTAGTGCTAGATTTCAAGCCCAAGTTGCCCTCTAATTTGGACTGTCCTAAGAGAGTTGTGTGCAACGTAATTGCTCTCTGAAACAGATTTCATAGAACGCTTATCTCTTTGCACAACATATTCATTACGTACAGTACATCTGTACAGTTCAAAAACTATGAAGACCATTTAAGCAAGCCTGACAACTTGAAATCATGGGACACTATAATGAGATCCCCATGGCGAAGATCAGACTTACATGTACCATAAAACCAGAAAAATTTGACTAAGGATCAAATACTAGGTCTTCCAGAATTTTATGAAGTCCTAGAATCTAGGCCTTAAATCTGTTCTAATACAGAGGAGAATTAAAATAAGTAAAGGACTTCACAGGTTTGTTAACTGGGGAATAATTCTTCCTAATTAGTACATTCTTCACTTATCAGCCCAACTCTCCTCTAAGTCCAAACATTAGTAAACGCATGGTTCTCTAAGCACCCTAATTAACACACTGAAAGTCTATTCTGGCTAAATTAGCTTACCTCTCTTATTCAAATATAGTCACAAGTTTAACATATGCATACAGACTGCCGTACTAAATAACTGTTCTGCCAAATCCTTACAAACAAATCTGATTTCAATGTTTTCAGTAAGCAGATTGAGAGCAAAATCTGTAAACCCAGACTACCAGATCCTGGGAAATTTAGATGTCCTACTCATTCAAAATTAGTATTTCTGCTCTTTAGAATCAGATTTCAGTGCCATATGATCTAACAYGTTTTGCTGGCACCAAAAACACCTCCAATGTTTCATGAACAAAATTCTAAAGAAAAAAGACAAAGAAGTACAAGCTCACTCTAGTCTTTGATTCTGTTTATTAGACCTGTTAGAGCAATCCAAACATTTATGACATTAATGCACTTTTCTAGAGATATGCTCTGCACAAAACTATGAGGAACCTTCTATTTACTGCTTTTAAATGAAATACACAGTTACACTGCACTTCAAGTGAAAAAAACTTAAAAGAAAACAGGAAGAGGAACACGAACTTTGTTTTTCTTTGAGAACAATGAGAAGACAACTTCCCCTTTCAGTCTGAGATAAACCAACATCCCGAGTGCATTGTGTTCTGGCAATCCACTGTGCAAGACTGCACGACAGTAAGTCTATCCAAAAGATGTCATGTTCTTACAATTAAAAGCAATGCTTTAGATTTGTTACATGATATAAATAATTTGTGGGTGCTATAAATTATCTCAGTCATAAGTTACAGCAAGGGCTTTGCAGCCYTTGCTTTACAACAAAGAAGAGACTTTAGTTATGCTAGAAAAGTTTTGTGGCCACAATTCAGCACAACCACTGTATGAATGCAGTGGTATAAGTAAGATATAAGCTGCCCTGAATATCTTGACTAKAACAGAATGTTCAAAAGTTGATTAAAAAAAGACCAAGCAATAAAACCAACCTGATGAAAATTACCTCTTATGCCACATTTTAAGACAAAATCACATTGTTTAAGTGCTTCAGTTTCTATCTCAATGGTATCATCATAGTTGCATTAATCTACTTCTCATATAAATCATAAAACATTAGGAAACAGACAATAAAAACCTAGCTCCATTCTCAGAAAGACCCTTATCAAGATTACAATAGCTACAAGTGGTACCTATGCAAATGAGAGTAATTTAAGCTTCTGAAAAACATTCCACTTGTTTCAAGATCCTTCCACTTAGCAGTAAATTGAATAAAGCTTAAATTGAGCCCAAAAAAAAAACACTACAGTGAAAAAATGGTTTAAGAATTAACTACATTCTCAGTGTTTTTATGTTCTTATAGAAAATGTGGGTGAGACAAGCTAAAATACAGAGATATTTTACGCAGAATATTTAGGTCAGGTTTAAAAAAATCTTACCTTAACACCTTGAATAAGACCATTCATTAAAAATGTATGATGGGGGAATGTTTCATGTAAGACCTGACAGAGGGAGAAAAAAAAAAACATTACTTGAATCAGGACAGACAAGATAAAATTTATTCAAAGTTTAAATTCGATTTGTAAAACAGGACAGCTTTATGAGGACTTGCTAAAAAAAGTATCCTATCCCCAAACAAAAACTAAAAAAAAAAACCCAAACCCAAAAACCCCAGAACAACCAGAAGAAAAAAGTATCTTCTATTTGTCACCACAAGAAAATGTAAACAGGATTTAATATCAATTTATCAGAGTAAATTCATCTGCTGGCACACACTGTAATGCAGATAGTTGGTTTGGGACACTTGTCTCAAAAAGAGGATCAATGTAAGCAAAAACAATCTCCCTGTGGTACAAATTACAATTTTTTTATAAAGTTAATTCCTTCAGAATGTTGATGCAAACATTTCCAATATTTTGGAGTGAAAATGAGATTCAGCTAACTTATTCTGAACAAGGAAAAAATAGTGCTATATTCAGGACTGAACAAATAGCAGCTACTAAATAGCCATACAAATACTTCTGAATAACAACTAGATGCTTACAAAAACTAGCAAGAGTTCTGAGTGTTTAAATACAGCCACAAATTCAAGTAAGGTGCTTTACCAGTAGTCTTAATTCAAGGGCAAGAATGTTAATCTATGCTAAACAGATTTACCATAAATATGCAAGAGAGTTAAGGGGCTTCACAGGTGCTAGCTAACATGGTGATTAAAAAAAAGTTATTGTGATGTTCAAAGCATGCATGAACATGCTCAAGAACAAAAATTCATATTCAAACAAAATTCACATTCATTTGCTCCTGTTATTTATAGGTAAGCGCCATCAAGAACAAATACTACTTGTATGAGAAAGCTATTACGCTGAAAAAATAGAATACTTCAGCATCACTGAAAAGTATCAGCATTATTTTTCTAGGAAGACTCAGACTATCAAATCTTATGTTTTATAAAAGTTATGGCCCTCATATTAACTACTGGGCAGATAATTCTCCTTATTTATACTCCTTTTCCCTTCTAATGTCATCTTTTGGCTAGATATCTAGAACAATTTTTCACCTGTTAGAACACTGATCTTATTATATGAATTGAGGAGAAAAAAGGGTTCAAATTAGAGATCTAAAAGTAAATATCTTCTAAGTTAGTGAAAAACAAAACAAACAAAAATGGGAAACTCAGGGACTGAAATCTAATTACTGGTGAGCTGTTTTCTAATACTTTTTCCTGAGAGGCAACCACTGCTGAAATTAAGTTCATGGTTTTTGACATTAATTTGTTACTTTATAGACAAGAGAAATGCAAGTTGACAAACTGGTAGAGGGAACTGCTTTACTGAAGTTCTATCAATGGACAAGTATTCAAAAAATATATATATTGAAGACAGAACATATCATTAAGCAATTAATATCGCATATGGTAATTTACTATGGTTTACAAGTCCATAAATAAAAGTAATGTCCATAAGCTTTGGACATAATTATGCTTTGATCAGAATAGCCTTTGTGTGCTTGATAAACACTTTAAATATTTTCTTCTCCAGGTACAGTGTCATRTAACAACATTACTGCTTTGCTAACAGATGTCAAAAGAAGTAAAAAAGCAATTTACAAAATTAACTTTAAATTCTCTCAGCTATCAAAAACACACACAATTTATTTTCATAGTCCACAACTATGTGGACAACTAGTCCATTTTAATCAGATTGAATGTTGACAATGACCTCCAGATTCATGAAAAAAAAAAAAGAAAAAATTAAGTGACCACAAGCTTTGATCAACAGACTAGACACTTCCCTTTCCGTCCTTTCTACCTGACAAACTTGATTGAGCAAAAGAAGGCAGTTGGCAGTTCAAAGGCTGAACCTAGCTCATAAGAAATCTCTACATTGACTTCTAGTACTGCTGCCTGATAAGCCGGCCAATGTAAGCTACCACAAGTACATCACAAGGCAGAAGGGTGCAAAGTATCAAACCAGACCTGAAATTATATAAACCCAACAGCAGCCTTTCAGTGCTTGCAAAGCTGATTACAAATAAAGATGATCATCCTCAACTATGGAATTATTCCAACTGGAGTACACTACTGGGAATTATTAAAGAACCCACTTAACATTTTGTTTCATTGACCTGGTGAGGTTTTAAAGATGTGTCAGAATTCTGGTTTGCACACTTATCCTTTTAAATGAGAAGTGTCAAGCTTGAGCAAGTTGAAATTGAGCACTTTGGTTAAGAAAAAAACAAAGAACAAAAAGGGATAGGAAAGACCACCTARCAAACTTCCCCATATTTTGACAATGGCAAGACAGAATAACAAGACAGACATTTTGTGAGACACCTGCTTCATGGAAACATGCTAACTGCTTATATGAACTTCTTTATTACTAAGCTTTGTAAAAAGTTCAGTGATTGTCTTTTAAAAGGTTAGACAAACACATTTCAAGAGACACATATATTATTTATTTGGAGTTTGGAGAAGGAATGAAATTAACTCTTTTAATCCCACAAAACTTTGCCAGCCATCTACTCAAAGTGCTCTCAGATATCAGCTGATGAAAAACCAGACTAACAGACTTCTTGAGACTGCTCACAGCAGGTCCCATTACAACAAATAAAATCTATGCCTTCAAATGAAATGCTTCATATCCTATTACCAAACACTCAAATTATCTGTCCATCAGGAAAATAACCAGAACAGATTAAATACTTATGAAATCCATTTCTTACATGAACGCCTTTACATTTCACATGGCTGGCAAAACAGTCAGCCCACAGGAGYGTACACAGTTAATGAAGGATAGCATAATTTAATTGTTCCAACTGGAAGATTAATCAAATTATTAAGTCTTGAAAAAGCAAGGATTTCCAGAGATACTTTAATCAATATACTGACGTTACTCTAGGAGGCAAATAAGAGTTAAGGAGTAGTACAACCGAGTTAATTTATTTTTTCCTTATCATCTAGTCTTTCGGCACTCCAAATCTCTGCTGCTAAGACTTCTGGAATTCAGGTTGAGATACACAATAAATATAAAACAAATTAAAACCTAAATCCCTAGGAATTAGCAAATAAACATTTGTCACTATCACCACGATAACAGCAGATARACGATACTTACCGTTAGCATTGGAGTAGTCAGGAGCCCCCAGGCAAAGAATTCTAGAAATATGACCACCACTGCATGGTACACACTTGGCCGACCAATACCTTGTTGCTAAGAAAGAAAAACATATGCAGTRGTTTACCCATCCAGTTCATTACATGTGCAAAAATCTCCTGCAAACATGTTTTGAGCAAAACAGTTTTCAGCATGAACTACTAACCAAGCCCTTGGGACAACAATAAGCCAAACAAGGGAGAGAAACTTGTTTTATATTACAGAACAATTAAAGATCTCTAGGGAATTTAAAAAATTTTGTTCCCTTTGACAGTTCCTGAAGAGATTTATTTGCCCAGACATTGCTCTGTACTGCTCTCACCTCTAACATGCCTTTAAGCTTTCTTCCCCTTGAGCATTCTTCACAACTGTTCCACAACAACGTGACAAGCAGTATACCTCTCCCTGCTACTTCCACAAGTGGCAAGACAGATCCACTTTAATAAGATCACAGCACTATTTCAACAAAACTATGACAATGCACATAATTAGAAGAGCAACAATTTTTGTACTTGAAAATGCCAAAGTATGAGAAAATAAGGAAAATATGACATCTGTACAACAGTTTCCTATTGATTGCTGACCAACTGATTCTATGMTTCTGTCTGCAAACACAGACTACAGGCTGAGGAACCATTCTACTGGTCCAGTAATTCCAGGAAGAATGAGCAAACTATCGAAGTACTCATGATTCAGTGAAAGTGCTGCCATTCAAGATCTAAGGACTTGATCCCAGATGAGAGTAATGAAAACCAATTATTTAGATGAAATAGGCAGAACCCTTGGATAAGGCATAATTAATAGAACTACTACAAGTACTTTCTTTTCTTTTTTTATTCTTCCCAAAAGAGATTGAAGCAGAAGTACKGAACAATTTAATGCCCTTCAGAGCTGTGACAGTAATGGTTGACAAGGGGAGACTGAAAGATGTCATTCCTAGATTTCTGTAAAGCCTTCAATGAGTTCCACATGACACCCTTATCTCCAAACAGGAGACACATGGATTTGAAGAGTGAACTATTCACAGGATAAGGAACTGCTGGATGGATGCAGTCAGAGAGTTGTGGTCAATGGTTCTGTGTCCAGGCAGAAGCTGGAGACAGTGGTGTCCCACAGTATCTTCACTGGTGGCACAGACAGGAGGATTGAGTGCACCCTCAGCAAGTCTGCAGATGACACAAAGCTGAGCAGCACAGCTGACACAACTGAAGGACAGAATGCCATCCAGAGAGACACAGACAAACTTGAGAACTGGGCCCACAAGAATTTCATTAAGTCTGACAAGGTGCTGCACCTGGATCAGTGCAATCCCAGACATGAGCACAGATTGGGAATTGTAGTCAGAAAGCAGCTCTGAGGAGGACTTGGGGGTTCTTGTGGATGACGAGCTGGACATGAGCCAGAAATGTGCACTCACAGCCTAAAAAGCCAACCACATCCCAGGCTGTATTAAAAGGGGAGTGAAAGGAGGGGATTTTTGACCGTCTACTCTGCCCTCCTGAGACCCCACCTGTAGTACTGTGCCCAGCTCTGGAGCCATCAGCACAGGAAGGACACAGACCTGTTACAGTGGGTCCAGGTGAAGCCATGAAGTTATCAGAAAGCTGGAGTAGCCCTCCCATGAAGACAGGCTGGGAGCAGTGGGGTTGTTCTGCCTCCAGGAAGAGAAAAAAGGGCTCCGGGGAGACCTCACTGCGGCCTCTCACTGCTTCAATTCAGGGGTCTTTTAGAAAAGAAGAGTGACTTTTTACACAGGGAGAATGTGATAAGGAGGAATGGTTTTAAATGAAAAGAGGAGAGATTTAGATCAGATATTAAGAAGAAATACTCTAGTCAACAAGTAGTGAGGCACCGGAGCAAGTTGCCCACAGAAGTTGTGGATGTCTCATGCTTGGAAGTGTTAAAGGYGAGATGGCTGGTGCCCTGAGCAATTTATCTAGTGGTTGTAATCTTCTTCACTGATGGAAGGGTTGGAATTAGATGATATGCGAGGTTCCTTCCAATCAAAAGCATTCCATGATTTTTTTTTCATTTCTAACTACCCCTTGGCACAGTAACCGTTTAACATAGTTTTTCTGTTCTAAAATTACTTTTTGCCTTTCCCCTAACAACTATCCTCCAAAGGACTGTTTTTCAGTATTTCCAGCCAATTACACTCCAAGAGCCATTACATTCCAAAGCCATTACACTCCAACAGAAGTGTGCAATTTAATAATGCAGGATTCAGCTGAAGGGGCATTATCCACTAACAAATATCAACCTGACTCATTTCAGTGGAGAGCAGGGCAAGCATGAAACTAAGGATCTTCCACTGAACCCAGAAAAAGTCAAAATAATCTATGATGAAGGCAGAGGCACAGACACCTTTGGTGTTTCTCTCCCTCTCTGTAACTTTGATCCAAATTGCTAGAAATCATATGTTTAGGAAATGTTTGCATTACAAGATTCATTTAAGCTAAAGGTCTGTAGTAAAAGCTTTAAAGAAATTTTTATTGTCTAAACACTAAATGCATTGATCTCTAAGAATTTTCAGATTTGTCAGTTTATCAAAACCTGTAGCATCAGTGTATTCTAGCTAATAAGCTTCAATTTATTTTCTACATTGCAGCTTGCTTCAAAGCATGAAGATATGAAGAAAACAGTTTTCTTTCTCCCGGAAAACAATACGATACCACAGATCAAAGATTATCTCTGTAAGRCTCATAACTTTCAAGCATTATTAACACTTCTCCATAGGTTACCAGGCAGCATTTAATCCCTAAACAGCAAAGATTCCAAAGGCTATGGGGGAAGAAAAATCCTCGTCATATAAGAAGTCTCTAAGTACTTCTATATAAGGCAATAGGATAATAATTTTCTGAATTTTTTTGCCAAGATATACATCAATCAGACTAGCATTTAACACTGATTACACAGAAGTCTGAAGATCCCTTCCACAGCAATTTCCTCTGGAAAAAAAAGCAAATTTCATAGTAGAGAGTAGGTAAGGAACTACCTGAACCTTCTCCGACCTCTACTTTATTTCCCTCACACCTTTATATCACTAAGCAGGTTGCTGAGCCATAAACATCCAGTCTGCATTTAACAAATGTTTCTAATGCCACTAAAGATGAAGTTTTGGAGTGTTTCGGGGTTTTTTTACAATGTTTTTATAACATGCAAATTTGATCTGAGCTTTATATGGTTTAGCAGAAAGATGATGTACACATATTGTCAAAGACATGTATGGAGATTAAAATAGTCTGAAAATAATTTCTGGCAGCATCATGCAGCTTACACATAGCTTAACAAACAAACAAAAAAAAAACCAAAAAAACAAAAAAACCACAACAAAACCAAACCAGAAAACACCATAGCCTTTTAGATTCAAGACATTACCTGGAAAAGTAAAATTCAAATTGTGAAAAGAACATGTAGGTGTCAAAACTAAGACTAGCATCTTCTGCAAAAGGCTGCAACTAAGCCCATGAAGCCAGGAAAATTCACTGACATTATCAAATCGACTGATGCAGATAGTTACTTCTGAATGCTCATCTTTTCCGTAGTTCTCACAAACTCTTATCACAAAAGCTTTCAATTTTTAATTAAGCATCAACTTACTTTTTAATAAAACCAAATAGTGTATGATTGATCACGTACACAGCTTGGTTCACAGTTTACAAAAGGCAACAAAGTTTCAAAATCAAAGAGCTTTCTAAAAACATTTTACACTTGCTTTAGCATGTATCTGGATCAGAAGTACTGGGTGTGGCTCATTTCTGCACTGAGAAAACTCCACGTAACTTACATAAAAAACTTTGCATATACAAAAAATGGCTATAAACTTTGAAACACAAGGATCTTTAGGTTTCTTGAACTAAGCAATATGGGGGCAATCCACTGAATTCCTTATGATTAAAAATACTTCAAAAGGATTTCAGATATAGCACAGATGTAGTCAACATACAGGTTGTTTGCCTCATTCACTGCCCTCAGAACTGGAAGTGTTTATGTTAAAAATTAAATGCCCTCAGGAAAACCTTAAAATCGTTACAGGCATATTTTCTATTCACATGGATCATCTTCATGTGACAGACTTGTGTGGGCTGAGAAACTATGCAAGAACATTGTAATTGCCTTCAAATGCAGCTGTTTGTAAAGGTTTTGTACTTGCACAATCATTAATGAGCAAAACATAAGTAATCTTGAATGCTTAACAAGTTTGAGCCCATCATCGTAAAACCTGAAGTCCTAGAAGTTCTAACAAAACATCTGCTATTTCTCTAGTTTTACACTTTTGCTCCTTCCTTTTCACAACCCAATCCTGAAAAACTCTTTTTTTTCTTCTGCCTTTCTTGGAGTCAGAATAAACCCAAAACTGAATTTGAAGGAAATAGGAAAAACTACTGGGAGACAGTACAAACTTTTTTTTTCAAAGTGAAACAGCTGTTGTACACTAATAAACCCATGAAAGAATGTCCAAATCTTAAACTCATCTGGTAATAATTGCTCATAGAAAAGGAAGGGGGAAATGCAATATAGTATTAGTACTAAATCTTATCTAAGAATATCTTTATCTTAGACACTCTGAAGAACAGCTAGTACAATTCACCCTAACATAGTCCACAGCAATCTTATAGCCAGTCCCAGATCTGCAGAGCAAAGATAGAATTGACAGTATTTATTTATTATCCACATAGTTTGTATTTAACTATTTATCTGTTAATTAAAGTCTATAATGTAATAATTTATATTATTTGAATGACTGAAAAAGCACCTTAGCATCAATGTCAAGCATGCATGTTTATTTCTCTGAAGAAATATGCTTCTTTGAGAACAAAATCACTTCTCACTGTTCAAATCCTTTAATTGTCCAGAGCATCTTTCCAAATTTTTCATATTTTGTTGAGGGCCACACAGTCCTGCTAGGCAAATTAAACAAAAGGTTCGATTGTGAATATATAGCAGGCTTTTTTTTCTCCCATAAGTGTGAGGCAGCAGAGCAAGATATGAGTTTTTTATCCTCGGAGGCTTTGATTCCATATCCAACTGGAAAAGTCCTAGGCAACTTGCTCAGG